TTTGTCATTTCTATTGTTTTAAGCCCCAGGTTTTCCTACACAGTAGTAGTTGTTAAGAATGGCATAGAGAAAAGATTGGAGTGCATCGCTGTTTTTGCAACACAAGCAGCAGGGCTGTTTTCATCTAGCATAACAGAGCCCAACAGGTTGGCTGTATTCATATGATTAGCTGGAGGGTGGTTAATTAGCTTTTTCCAAGCCTTGTCATGATCTAGAAATGTTAACTGTTCACTAGTCAAGGTTTCTTTTTGTCAATATGTTGTTCTATGGATGCCAGAATCAAATAAAGCAAGTAGTCATATTCTCTTAGGCATCAACTAAGTAATATTAATGTCTCTCCAAGTATTCTTTAAGTCCAAGTGCAACCTCTTATGCCAATAGGTTATCCAGTGATTTAATAGGTTATTACATTAATTTAAATATATAAAAAACATAATTTCATTATAGTACATTGAATTAGCATTTGGTTTCAGTGCATACTCAAATTCTTTCTCAGGTACAGAATCCAGAAATAGAGTTTTACCACTGAGCTTATTTGCTTTTTTTTAACTTTATCTTTTCTTTCTTGGTTTCCATTATTATTTTTGTTTAAGTATTGTTTTGTTTAATTATGGTTTTAGTGTATTATGGGGGTTTTGCTGTTATTTTATATATATATATATTTTAAAGGGTTTAAAAAAACCTAGAAAGCTTCATATTGTACAGACACTGTTAGCTGTTGGATTTTACTGTCTGCCTTTTTAATTGCACATAATGTAAGAGACAAATACACAACTGCATTTCTTTTTTCATAAACGATGGAATAGGTTGAAAGAGAGTATATGATATACATATGAATCTGGAAGATTCATGATAGGGATTTTGAATTATAGTCGCCTAGGCCCTGTGACATTTAACTACTGCACATCACTGGCTACCCAAAGTTAAATTCCAGACAGAGTTTCATACTGACAGATGGTACTTCTGAAATAAGCTTTTGGGCAGTACTTTGTAACAAGCCAAATTGAAATGGTTCTATTTTCCATTGTTCAATTTCTTTTCCTTCTTTTGTGAGAAATACACAGAGATCATAGACCAGATGCTAGGATCTGCAGTTTGCAAGAATTATGGTGGAAAATGGTTAAAGCTTTATAAAAAAAGTAAACGATGTGAAGTGGATACAAGGGTAGTCCTTGGCTTGTGACCATTTGTTCAGCAACCGTTCAGACTTACAAAGCAGTGAATGAAGGGACTTATAACCTGTGCCCGCAGTTACAGCCATTGCAGCACCCTCAGTGTTATGTGATAAAAATTCAGGCGATTGGCAGACTGCCTACATTTTTCATCACGAGGGTGTTGCCACTCCCCTTACCTGTGTATCTTCCCCATCTAACCTAGGCCACCTTGCATAGCAGCACTTTTAGCACTGAGACTACACCTTGAATAGGGGCCCAAGGCCTTCAGCAATCTCAACCAGTTTCCACTGCCCTCAACATCAGCCCTAGCACCACCACTGCCATTGAGAAATGCTACTTCACACTATTCTCTAAGGCCCAATGGCAAAGCTGACTCTAATGTGCCTCTATTCACAGTTTAGCAATAGAAACGAAGGGAGTGGGGAGGAGAATGCTTGGAATGTATTGGGACCTGGAAGAGAGGTGAGGAATTTATGTGAACCGTTTGCAGCCTGAGAAGATCCTGATACTTCAAGCCCGTGCGATGGGAACATTCCAGAGGCACAGACCATTTCCCCAAAATAAAAAGAACATATTGGATTGGTGGACAGTGGATTATGGGTGTCTCACATGGGGAAAAGGAGAAATTAACTAGCATTTTTGTCATGTGAAAACCTCAGGGCTAGCTTCACTTCTTCTGTGCCTGCATGAATGTATCAGTAAAGTTATACCCTTGGTAAAATAATGTCCCAGGCGTTTCTTTTGTTGCCGAGATGGCGCAGTGGTTAAATGCAGCACTGCAGGCTACTGCTAGATCAGCAGTTCAGCGGTTCAAATCTCACCGGCTCAGGGTTGACTCANTAGGTAGGTAGGTAGAGGGATAGAGAGAGAGAAATAGAGATAGAGAGAAATACAGTAGATAGGTGTTTCTGCTGGCACAGCCCTTGATCAGTGTAATTCTCATCAATCAGTTAAAGAGCTTTCTAAAGGGGGGGGGGAATTTGCACTCTGCAAACCTTCCAAAAGCGGCCCATTTTTCACAAAAACTGGCCCATTTTTTCCCCAAAAAAGGCATGAATAGCCTTGGGGGGGGGCTTGCAGAGTGCTCCTGGGGAGGGGGGTGAAATGACCAAAAAACGGGCCAGTTTTTTGTCAAACAAAATTGCAGGCATAGCCTTATGGAAGCTTATAGAGTGCTGCTGGGGGCCGGGTGGCAAACAAATGTCCCATTTTTTGCTCATTTCTGCCCTCCCCAGCCCACAGGAGCTCTCTGAAAGCCTGCTACAAGCTATGCATGGCCATTTTGATGAAGGGGCGGAAAAATGCTGTATTCGGTGTATAAGACGCACCCAGATTTTCAGCCTCTTTTTTGAGGGAAAAAGGTGCATCTTATACTCTGAAAAATACGGTAATGATTGCTAAGGCGACATACTATAGATTATTTTAGAAAATCTCTGCAGGTCTTAAACTTGAAGTCTGTTACTTTTTGATTCTGTTGCACAAAGTGCTTCACTCTTCTGTGACTGCTTTCTTTAAGATATTTTCCAAATAACTTACCAAGTCAAAATTATAGAGTACATTTAGTGTGTTTTGAAGATGGAACTCAGTTCTGTTTGACACATCTATCTCATAATGTATCCATTTGAGGCTCCCTACTAAATTGGGTGATGTTGTTTAGAGTTCTGTGACTACAATTCTAAAAGGCTGATGGCAACTCTAGAACCAGGGGTCCCTGTAGCTAGAGCTATATGGAGCATAAATAAAATCCAGTGCTCAATATGTCCTCAAAAGGGAGATGTTGAAGAACATGTTTTGTGTGATGAAGTGGTGCCCATGCAAAAGAGATTCTATCTCATGTGATTCAGATGAAAGCCTAGAGGGTGGTGGATAACATTCTTCTACCAGTTTGTACATATACATATACATGTTATTAATAGACTTTTATTCTGGTTAGTTATTGTATGAAGTGAAGAACTTGAGAAAAACGAGTTGTATTAAAACAGAGCCCATGACATTAATGTTTATTCTTGGAATAATGTTCTTTGTATTCACAGTTGCCTCACTCCTCCTTGATGGGTTAAGTTTATTACCTCTGTCAGCTATAATTACCCTTTAAAATAGTCTTTGTCAGTTCTGCCCCCTTTTTGTTAAATAGATATTGTAGCACCAAGCTTGAAGGAGGTGGTTTATCTCCCATCATAGGAGAACAGGCAAATTAAATATGTACTCCGAAAAATCATTATTCGGGGTGTGTGGAGATCCCTAAAGTGGTAAGACTGTTGAAGGTTTTAATCGTGACTCATGCACAAACAGCTGGAAGCTGTGCCTTTAGTAATGCCTGTAGAGAAGGAAATCTTACTCTGGGCCTTTGTGCGCCACAGTTTTATTGCGCAATAAATACACACCAGTTGAGTGCATTTTCTGACAATTTTGTGCTTCTGTTGCTGTGAAAGTATGTTTTCTAGGAACTCAAAGCATATATAGGAAAATTGGATTCTTTCCTAGAAAACATACCTTCTGCAATAAGGCTTCCAGAACTGAGTGGAAGGTGTGACTGAGTATCATCAACACATCTGGGCATTGCTGTGGTGAATGTCATTACTCCATTTATTGTCTTCCTTATTTCTCTATTTGCTATTGTGAACTATAAAGTATGTACTTTGAACAAGTGGGGAATACCAAGGAAGTTTCTATCTGCTGGAGCACTCTGATGTTTTATGCATGCACAAATCTGGCTTTTTTTTAAAATATACAGCTTTAAACATTATCCACTCTTTAACTGTTTATGTTTCTGAATTATTACATCTGTGTCCTCCATCAGTTGTGTTAACAATGTGATCTAACACAATAAAATTAAGAAACAAAAGGAGAATTAAAGTAATGGTTTAAATAACATTAAATCTACATTTAAAATAGCTGAGGAACTATAACAGGAATAAAATTAGAGACTTAAATTGACAACATTCCTTAGTTAAATGTGAGAATACATAATTTTTTTCCAACTAGTTGCAGTTCTTCAGAGTTGTTTCTAAGAAGGTGATCTTTAAAGGGCACTGCTGATATATATTGTTCTGACCTCCCCTCTTCACACACACCAAAGCACACCGAGACAAAGATACTTCAAGGATTTATTAACATAGAGACCAGACCTTGGCAGCAATCCAGCACAGACTAGACGTTGACAGCAATCCAGCACAGACTAACCTTGGCAGCAATCCAGCCTGCCAAGCTAGCCACAGTAGCTTCTCCAGCTCTAGTGAATACGTTGATTCCTGCNCCCCCACAGTCTGGGTCCTCATTTCACCCACCTCGGAAGGATGGAAGGCTGCGTCAACCTTGAGCCGGTGAGATTTGAACCACTGAACTGCAGATAACAGTCAGCTGAAGTGTTCCACAAATGCTGATAGAGAAGTGAAGCATAAAGTTTGTGTGCATGTGTGTTTATATAAATATAATAAAAAGTAGCATGCAAGAGCAACTGAATTGGATACAAGGAACAAAAATCCTTAAAAGGGATTAGATAATTGTTGGGCATTTACTATAAGTGAGGATGATGACATAGAGATGAATTAAGAAAGCAACATAGAAGAGATGAATGGATCCTATGAAAGTTCTTTCAAGACGAAAAGCTGAAGAAATATTTTGAAATGTCAGATTAAATTGAAAGTTCCCATGCCTCACAATAAAAATAAATGTTGTTCAGTGCTTGGTCAATAAATGATAATACATTTTTTGTTCAGAGATATCTGCTTCTATTTGCATACTAGTATTTTTGCCCATCAGTAACTATTCCATTCATTGTTTAATTGCAATGCTTTTTTTTCTCTTTCTGAATTTTCCTTGCAGATTGGACAACTTGCTTTCAAAGGCATGAAACAATTAAACCGAATCCAATCCATTGTTTTTGAAACTGCCTATAACACAAATGAGAATATGCTAATATGTGCACCTACTGGGGCCGGAAAAACTAACATTGCCATGTTAACAGTTTTGCATGAAATCCGTCAGCACGTTCAGCAGGGCGTTATCAAAAAGGATGAATTTAAGGTAGGAATTCAGTGAAGTAGTTTGACAGAGCTTCGTATATGATTGTCATATTTATATGAATCTGAGAAATTTTCAAAGACCTCTTGTTTTCTCCAATACATACAGCTACAATGCGTGTTGATTTAGTTGATTGCTGGTTTGCAATTCCTTTATTGGTTCTGGAAGTGTTGCTTGCCTGTGTGAAAAGAGTTGAAAATATATTTAACTTAGGTGCAGAACCAATGTTCAAAATGATAGACCTTTATAAACAAAATACATTGTTTTGTTTAAAAGCATTTATACTGAAAATAACCAAAATACACATGCTGCTATTAATTTTCTTGCTGTGTATGTGTTCAGTTTCATTTTTTTAAAACATAAATTATGATGGGTATGAATATTCAGGGTTGAACATTTTGCTCATTTATCAATCTAGCGTCTTTTTCATTGCAGATAGTTTACGTTGCTCCTATGAAGGCATTGGCAGCTGAAATGACAAATTATTTCAGCAAACGTCTGGAACCACTGGGCATCATGGTGAAAGAGTTGACAGGTGACATGCAGTTGTCAAAAAGTGAAATTCTCCGAACTCAGGTACCTATTTACTTTCTAGGGCACTCTTTGACAGTTTATAAAGAATAATAGTTGAGCCCATTGTCTCTCATTACTACCTTACATGAGATGAGAACACACACATCATTCCCTGCCTGAGCAGTTCGAGGAGTGGATTGGTGGTGCTAAGCAAACTGTTATCCAACAAAACTTTCTCCATCATTTATTATCTGGACTCAGCAGCACATGTTTGATGTTCCAAAATGCTGTCCAGTGACCGACACAGCTGGAGTTTTTATAGGCCTTAAAAGAGAAGGTAGAAAATCTTCTCGATGGTAATGTGGTTATGACGTTCAAAATTCCATATTAAGAACTGCTTTATTGGATGAGGGCCAGCTAAGTGAGAGCCAAACACATCTTCCAGTGTTGTGGTTAACCAGCAGCCTGCAGACATGGCAGCAGAGTCGGACAGTGAGGGGGTTGGGTAGGAACATGAGTTCCTCAGTCCTCGAGTCTGAGGAAGGCTCGGATGAGGGCTCTGTGTCAGAGGCAGAGACGGGGCTAGGGCCATCTGGGAGTTATGTGCTGCCTCCGGAGCATCCAGTCAGACACCAGCAAGGCAGAGGAACAGGAGTGCCTGTTCCCAGTGCGCACATGTGCAGAGCTGCCAAAAGGCAAGAATAGTTAAGACAAAAGGGATGACTCGGGAGTAAGGCTTGGCGGTGATTGGCCCCTCCCATAGGACATAAAGGAGGAGCAAAGGCAGGTGAGCCTTTGCAAGAAGCAACTTTGTTCGTTCTGGTCAGTTTAAAGTCTGAAGCTCCATTTTGATTCTGTGCTCTGTGTGGCCTTGCAAAGCTAATTTCCAGTTAGGATTTTGGCAGCATTTCAAGTGAGATAAAGGTGGGTGCTTATCAGCCTTATCCTGAAAGACTTTGGCAGACTTCTGTTGGACTCTTTACAAATTATTTGTGATGCATTATGGGATGTGAATGAACATAATTCACAGCCATTGAAATAAAAAGAGGATTTTTGGGCTAAGCATGTGTTTTTACTGTCTCAGGTCAGAACATCGTAGAAGTGTATGGATTTGATTGTCTGGCTTCTTTGTAGTCTCTAGGAAGGCAGGAAGTGGATGATCCATTCAGTTCTCCTAGCTCAGCTTTCGGTAACTACTGCACACAAGGATGTGCATTCCTAACATTCACAGGAAGCACAACTCATAAATTGGGTGGGAATTTTGGAAGTTTCCATCTCAAATATCTGGTGAGACCAGCTTAAGAAAGATTGTAGTTATTTCTGGTTTTCTCTGCTTTTTACAAATCCTTTTTGAAATGAGGTACCCATCCTTCTCTTGACAAGGTAGAGAATTCAGAAAGTTCATTATATGTTTAGTTAAAGAGGCATGCTTCCTTTTTCTTTATTTTGAGCTATTAATTTGAAGGAAGGGTTCTAAGGAGCCTGACTTTTTAAAAGTAATTTCTCTGTACTGTTTAAAATGATATGCAGTGCTATTATCTGTTCCTTCAGTTGCTTTAAAAAAAAAAAACAGAAATCTTACGGGTTTATTTCTGAAAAGATGTTTCATAAATTTTAGTATCTAGCACACTTAGAGAAGAAGAGAAATCCAACAACTAATTTGTCCTTTAGGATTTCCATTTTTGTTCTTGTTTTAAGACTTTATTCTGAATTGAAAAATCACTTATGTTGTCACTAGCATTTCCTAATAACACTTCCTCATCCAAAGCAGTGTTGGAACACTTCAAATCAACAAGTTGTAAGTCAAGATTACCTGTAAATATGCTTATGCATAAACACACACATAAATACACCTGAAGTACTTTATAGGAATATAATAAAATAATGATTTCATGAATTAATACATAATATTAAGCCATAATTTATTTCATCTGTGGTTTGGCTAGATAAATTAGGTGTAAACTAAGCTATAAACCATCACTGATAAACCATAGTGTGTCCAAATATTATGTAGATTCTAATGTAGTATTTAAATAGTTCTTATGAATGAAGGCAAATATATGTGTCCTGGAATAATGTTGCAGGATCCAATCTGAGTCAGACCAAAGGTTTATTCTTCCAAGCTTTCAGGCAAGTGCTGGAGAACTTCTCCTTCTCCAGAACATCTAAACAGCCCAGTGGATGACAGAGAAGTTCCCAGAGGAATGGGCTCCAGCATGAGCCCAAAAGCCTGAACGAATAAACCTTTGGCCTTGGTGACCATCTGGATCCTTCAATATTTCTGTTATTAATTTTTAGTCCAAAGGTATCATACGAAGGGCCTATTGTGTTTACACAAATAATCTGTAAAAGGAAAAGTACCTCATTATGGATGTGACTATTTAGATACATAGTGGATAACTCCTATTTAAAACAAATGAATCAACTTGTTCTCAGTTGGAATTCTATGTGCAAAGAAACATCCTTAGAAATTGACTGTTTATCCCATAAACGCTTGATACGCAGATTAGCACTCAGAAAATCAGATCATAGAAGATTTTTTTTTTGTAAAGAACTGATAATTGTAACATCAAATTTAACCACACAATTTGTGGTTCGTGCATTAAATGAGATGGCTGTTGATGTGCTTTATTTTGATATATTCAAATTCTGAGTGACAATCCTTAAGTAATCCCTTAAAAAGAATCATCAGCACAATTCTTACATATTAACTGGTTTACTATTTTATAAAAATACAGGGTTATTTTAGTGAAGTGGAAGATTCTTTGCTTAGTTCTGCTTTTTCATGAACAGAGTAAATCTCTCAGAGGACTGAATAGAAGACCATGTCAAAGTTTGGGTGATTGATTGCTTTTGCAGGGACAGTGAAGGAGTAAGCAGTAAAACAGACACTCTAAGAGTTGAGGCTGGCAAATGATATTGGGGATTTTTGAATTGTGCAGATGATGATCTTGATGGGTTTCATCATCTGATGGATTTCAAAAATTTGAGCTACGAAGATTTTATACCCCAATTGCAATTGAACATAATGCATAGATTTTTTTTTTTAATGTTAAGTTTCTTAAAAATAAGAAATTCAATTATCTGGTTCCAGAAGTGTCTAAAACAAGGATTGATATCAACACTGCCATTTTGGACAATTGAACATATTCTAGGGCATGGGTGTCAAACTCGATCATGTCACGTGACGTTTTGTGACTTTTTCACCTTTGCAGAGCCAGGGGGGGCATGGCCTGTGCGTGACGCATCCGGCCTGCAAGATGCCAATTTGACACTCCTGTTCTAAAGCAATGTTGGTAGTCTTCGGTTAACAACCACTTGTTTGCAACCATTTGAAGTTATGGTGATGCTGAGAGAATGGTGGTTACAGCCAGTCCTTGAAGTCCTGGCTGTCCCAGCACCTCGCAATCATATGCTTGCAATCTGGGCACTTGGCAACTGACTCATCATATTTGCAGCGTGCACCATAGTCACACGATGATTTGCAACCTTCCCTACCAGCTCCCCACAAGCAAACTCTGCCGGTTTGGGCAAATAGGTAGTTAAAAAATGCTTTAAAAAGTGGGGGGAAGGTTCTGACGATCGCATGGCACAGCTGAGTGTCATGGAACCTTTATTTTTTTCCCACTTTTTAAAGCTTTTTTTTCCCTACCGGTTCTAGCAAACCGGTCAGAACCAGTAGCATTTCACCCCTGGTCCATACCAATTTGAGGTTGGAACTTTGTTCTAAATGCAGAAATCTTTTGAAAGACTTTATTTTTGCAGGCCTGTTTTCATATTTGACTTTCTCTTGTCTTTTATATAATGCCAGAGGGGCAGCAGTGTCAGACACTAAAAGTGCTGTCACTATGTTATCTAATATAGATAATACTCAGGTTACAACCACTCATTCAGCAATCATTCCAAATTATGACAGCAATTAAACAAGGGGGACTTATGACCAAAGAGTTCTGGCTGTTGCAGCATTGCTGTAGTGACTTGATCAAGATTTAAGTGCTCAGTTTTGTTATGTGACTTATGTTGACAGAGCTGTGGTTCTGTTTGTAATTCTGAAATGTTGGCAGATAGGTATGGAAGAATTGTCAAATAATATTACTAAACGTTAAAGGCATCAAAGTATAAAATAATACAACATGAAAGCTTTACTAACTTGCCTTTAGGTAATGTCTCTATAAAATTGAATGTTAATATGCAGAGATCTTTTAATTTAATTTTAATTTACTTATAGAATATATATATGTACAGTTAGACTTTTATATAATAAATGTATCTTTTAATTACAGTATATAAAACTAGAAGATTTTTAGCAGTGCACTCAGTGCAAATACGATTTTAATAATGTACCTCATAAAACAAACAAGATTCTCCTTAAGAGAAATATTTCATTACCTCTATTAATAAGTAGGACATTGTGGAATCCCAAGAGTTAGTTATTGACTTTCTTCTTCAAGATTTAAAGTTTGTCATAAATTCTTTTTGTTGAGAGAAACCCACACTTCTGTAAAATTGCTATATAATTCTTCTGCACTTTCTCTCTAGATACCTAAAAGCACTATAAACATTAAGAGATAATAAAACACTCTTTATAGTTAATGCAAATGATACGTTAAACTGGATTCTTTTCCTCTTAGACTATAATTTAAAGGTATTCTGAAGTCCAATTATCTTTGATTTGCCGGTAACAAAAAATTCAGAGAAATAACCATGCTTTTTAAGTGAGTATTTCTCAGTAGACAAATGGATCTAAGTGGAAAAAGCACAAAAATTGAGGTGAGATGCAAGTGAATTATGCCTGTTTGGTGATGATTTTTAAAAAACTCCTCTAAGAAAAATCTATTTGTAAAATGGGAAGCAGCAGGACATTTACCTAAAGTAATGTTTTAAAAAAACCCATAGGACCCATATTGTTCTGGAGTGGATCTTTTCACCATGGAGATATTTGGAGCTAAATTTAAGACCTTCCAATGAATTGTCCATAATAAATGGAATATACTTCATCCCATCTATCACTGGAATATCCAGGAATTTGGAAGAAGACAAATTGGAAAAGAGGAAGGACCAGG